CGACCGAGCCAGACTTCGCCAAACGCACCTGCGCCGAGCGGCCGCTGCGAGACTGTCGTGAGCTCGTGCAGCGCAAGCTTGTACGGCCGAAGCGCGGCAATGTCGAGCTCGGGACCAGCCTCACGTTGGCCAAGGGCGCGCTGTGGGCGTCGGCGGCGTGGCTGCGACTGCGTGCGCGCATCGGCACCCGAATCGGGTACGTCGTCGAGGTCGTCGTCGTGCGAGCGACGTCGGCGCCAGAAAAGCAGAGCACCAAGGACGATCAGCAAGACACCGAGAGTGGCGCCAATGCCGCAGTACACACCAAACCCTAACGTAGCGGTCTCGAGTCGTGGAATAGATGGAAGATGGTAGTACGAAAGTCCGTGTTGGGGTTTGTAGGCGGTGAGGGGGCCAATGAGGGCGAGGGGGCCGCTTCTAACTCGGACAACATAGCACGGTGCATGGACGAGACGATTCAGTACCTGGAACGACACAGGCGTTGATGGTTCCCTTGTAGATCGACCAAAGCATCTGGATCGACCCGTGGATGGCGCGGCAGGCGACAGGGTCCGGGTGCACCGATCTGTCCATCATGTAGCCGTAGGGCTGGTCCTCGTTGCGATCCCATTGCGGGAGCTGCTTGAGCACTTCAAACGTCGAGTCCGACACGGTCAAGTTGGTCAAGTTGCAGCCTTCGCAGCTGCTACGATACACACAGTGATTTCCGTAAAGATACAGAAATGGATCGTACAACATGGTGAGCGCACGCGAGAGCTTGACAAAGGCAAAGGTATGTAGTGGGTTGCGCGCTAAGTCCCTACGCCAGCGTTTCATACTAGAGTGTATACTGCTACATACAATAGCGCCATGCTCGTCCAGTCGTGGCCGACGATTTCGGTCAAGTAGTTGTCTCGCAGGCCCCTACAACGACTAGGGATCAGGTGTCGACCCGCCGGTCGCAGTGTACAGGAGGGTCACGTTGGGTGGTAGGTTCTGGAGGCTCGAAATGTTGCTCATCTCGAGGTTTCTATGATCGATATGTTTGTCTAGTCAGATAGCGACCACAACAACGTACAGCGATCCCAAGCTAGGGGGCAAGTTCGGGGGGATACGCGAGAGGTCGCTAAACGTGATCGCTCTACGCAGCAGACATGCTAGCGCTTGCCAACACCATGAGCATGTAGTACAAGTCAAAGAGCTTGGGCGGCCACACATACGTCGCCGGTAACGTCTTCAACGAGACATACTCCATCCATCTACGGTGCTCTCAGCTCGACCAAGCTCTTTGAGACCCAGCGTACACTTTGGTCAAGGTAAGCAACGGCTTGGTGCGCGTGAGGTCCAACGACTCGATATCACTGAAAGTTCTACGCCGCGATCGTTGGTTCTCGTCACAAAAGCCAACGTACAGCGACGTGACGCTCGGTGGCAGCTCCATGAGGCGCAGGTCGACGCTCGCCGAATCTTCCACGGTGCTACATGTCATTTTAGAGGCGTGTGCCTCGTACTCCATAGCAGCATCGTACAGTGCAGTCCTGGTGTACTTGTCGAATCGCCCGATGGCGCTGAGATTGCTAAACGTGTCGAAAGTGTCGTTGAAGCGGTCCACGACTTTGCACTTGCTGTTGACGACGCAGACACCGCCGGCGCAGGTGTCGTCGGCCACGAGCACCTTGGCACCCGCCTCTGCGTACGGACACGGCGTCGATGCCATCGAGTCCTGTTGCCTTTCTGGCGAGCGTGGGGCAGGATTCACCTCGTTCGTGATTGGCTCTTCGAAAAGAGATGTGGCCTGCGATTGGTGGATGTTTCTCTTCCTTGGCGCTGATTGGTGCGTCTGTTTTGCACACGCTCGTGAACCCGAGCGGCGCAACCAATCCCATCCACGATCATTTGAATGACGAGCCAATCAGATTGCTGCTAGTCCTGCTGAGGCCAGAGCGCATTGGCAAGAGCTCCACCAGCCCGACGCACCAGCTTGCACCATGACCACGTGCCCGTACGCCGGCGCCGGCAACGCGATCCTTGCTGCCGACAGCTACTGCGATGCCGCCACCTGCGTCCTCGACAGCTCATGCCGCATCGTCGAGCGCTACGCCGCGGCCAACACGAGCTTTACAGGCATTAGCGCTCTCGGCAACCTCCTGGCCTACAACGCGACCAAGCTGTGCTTCTTCTCGCCAATGCTGAAAAGGCCTTGACGCTCATTCCTGTGTAGCTTGATCAGCAATGCGACAGGTGCCATCGACGTTCAAAATGTAATGTTCCCGACCACGCTGACGAGCCTGTACGTTGCTCGCCGTCGTCGTTTGCGTACCATGGCGCTCTTCCTTAGTCAACTCTACAACTTTACGTCGATCGACGTCGTGCGCTTGGCCAAGGCACTGCCGTCGTCACTACAGACATTGTACGTTGCTGAGCTACAACAGCTGTCTCATTCGTATGCTAGCGCCATTGTGAACGCGAGTGCCCTTACGTTGCCGAGCACGTTCGTGTGGCCGAGTGCCATAAAAAATCTGTACCTCACAGCGAAATATCGGATACGATTTTGACAATATGGTTAGGAGGCTCGTAAAATTGGGTCTCCGTCAGATCCCACCCAACCTGCCCTCGGCGCTTCGCAGTCTGTACGTGCGACCCTATCCTCTTTGATCCCTCATAGAGAGGTTAGGTCTCTCTACAACAACTCGATCACGTCGCTCGATGGTCTACCTCCCAGTTTGACGTGGCTGTACGCGCTCCGACAACTCTGATTACGACTCGAATTTGCCTATAGGGAAATGGGCGAAAACCGCGTGACAAGTGTGGTCAACTACGACTGGACCAACATGACCTATGTGTACAGCTATCCCGATATACGACATGACGCATGATATTGAAACTAGGAGTTTCGAGGCCAACCCGCTCCAGACGTTTGCATTCGTCAAGCTCTCGCCCAAGCTCGTCACCTTGTACGCAGATCCACCACGAATGGCAGGCGACGGATGCTCTTTGTGTGTAGCGATATACAGAACATTCAAAGCCTCTCCAACATCTCGCTCAGCAGTGACAGCTGCGACGCCCTCGACCTCTTGTCGCCCTACAACGCGAGCAACAATGCAGGCTATTCGGTGTCGGGGGATATCAACGCCGACACGACCGCCTGCGCTAACATTGGCGGCTCGCTGCGTCGGCTCTGGCCTGTACAATACAAAGTTTACAGCGTCCACGTCTGCGCCCTTCCGCGTCCGTCAACGTCTCCATTTGCAAGACCCTAACCACGCGTATACTGTAGAGGTGGCTCCTGCGACAAGTGCTCCTCCTCTGTCGCCATCGTCGTCATCTACAAGCTCGCCGAGTAGCAATACATTTCCCTCATCTTCTGAAACACAACTCACTCGACCGTGTCTAGTTCTCATGTGGACACTAGGCAGTCTCGCCCTCGCTCTCATCGGGGCGTGTCTGGCCTATCTCATTTGGCGCCACCAGCGACGCACCAAGGACAAGAAGCCACCGACAACGAAGGACGTGTTCGACGCCAACCCGCCCGTGTGGTCGCCC